ATAAATTTATTCTCCAAATTTAAAATAATTATCTAAATAAGATTTATAAGATTAATCCTATCAAATGTTTAATAATTGATAAAATATATATAATATATAATATATAATATATTATATATATATACATATATAATAAAATAATGAAATTATATATCAATTAGTTTTATATCTTTTTTTTACATTCAATGATTAAATATTTCATTAGAAATCCATATACATACATATATGGATTCATAGTTGCGAAAATGTTAAATAAATTTCCTGTACATTTATCTAAAAGGTAATTCAAATATACGAAGCACTACAAAAATACCTGGTCTCTAAATACAACTAGCGATAAAACGTCTGGTTCGCGATGTGTTAACACATTGTTGACCGGTCGCGAGGTACTCGTATTTTCATGCACAAACGTTGTTGACCGGTCATGAGTATACTCACGTTTGCATATGCATCAACTTGTGCAATTATTGAAATAAAAAATTGAATATATTATTGAAATGTTTATTACATATTGTTTGCTTAATTTTTATATTATGTATTTCTTTTATTTTACTGACATCTTAATTACCATTCCAGTACTGCTATATTAAATTTTTTAAATCTTGTTGTAAATTTTTCTCTGGATTAGTGCTGAAAAAATAATTTGTATAAAATATAATAAATATAAATTAATTATATAAATTATAATTAATATAGATTAATTGAAATTGTAAGTAAATTTATAAAATTTATTCGAATTTGAATTTTTTCAACTAGAAATTTAATTATAGAACTGATTCTGATGGCAGTTTCTATATATAGTAAATATACCTATCAATAACATTGTTAACAGTTCTTCGAAATTTGTATACATTCCTATTTTGAAAAAGTCCTCTAGAAAATTTAATATCATTATATTTATATATTACATTACGATTTTATCTCTATCTATGTTGAAAAAAATAGACAGCTGCATAAAAATCTTATCCACGAGCAAAAACATGCCAAATAAGATAATGGTCGTAAATCACAAGCAATCACTTATCTATTAATTCAAAAATGACTCACCACGTATCCAATTCCGATTTTAGAAACCAAGATCTTCCAGATAAGAGACATTCTGATATCGTCGGTTTGCTTATTGTACACATAATTGCTACAAATATATTTTCATTATATCCGTGCTTCCATATGTGAAGATACATCGAAAAAATATAGCTATTTCGGAAATTTCCACGTATATATTAGCGATTGCCAAGTGTTTCGAATGGAGTAAAGAAACAACGATTCGGAGTGAACATCGACTGTTCGAAACAATAGACAGACAGAATATTTCCGATATTTCTCACTGAAACAAAAATCACAGAATCACGTGACTACACAATGCGAAGATCGAACACATTCCACGAAGATTTTCTTTCGTCTTCGACAGAAATATCAAATACTTTCACTTCTTTTCAAACTGACAATCGTTTCCTTTCACAATATTACCTTCCTACGTTTCCTGCTTCTTTTATACTTTTCGAGATCTATCGAAGGTCGATATATATCGATTTTATCGTATTTTAATAATACAATTTTTTTGATCGAATTAATAATTTTCTAAATAAAAACACAAATTCGTCTAACAAATTGGCAATATGATTAATGCCATAATAATTTAACTAAGAAATTAATTATTAAAATATTTTCGCTAGTACAATCGATTTGTATTCGAGTAATCGATGCACTCCGACCGTTTCCGCGAAAGTAGCGAACTCTATATCGATTCCACTTGCATTCGAAACAATAGTACATAAACGAGAATCGTCCATGTTTGTTAGCGTCGTCGCGACAACAGACTTGTGTGTTTCGAAAAAGGCGAACGAAGCCAACTGTGCGGTCCGTTTACCGAGAGCTCCGTATTCCCCAGTGTATACTAAAACCATCGATCGCGTTTTGCATGAATGATTTCGCGGAGGGACACGAGAAAAGAGGACCATGGTCGTCTGGCGGAAAAGAACGAAGATCGAAGAGAAATTTCGGGAAGGCATCGGTGAAATAGAAGGGGAATTGGAAGTAGTAAAGTCTGTGTCGTTCGGCATTCAGAATGCAGAAAAGGAGCGAGGAAAGAGGAGAATGTAGGGTGGCTCGGCAGTTTGCGTGCATGTGTTTCTCGTTCGTCCCTATGCACAAGGAGAGAAGAAGAGTCCAGAGAACGCGAGTCGACCATAGAGGAAAAGGAAGAATTATCGAAGGTAAGAGAGAGAGAGAGACGGAAGCGAGAGGCCGCAAAATATATGCTGCATGCTCGTGGATGCTCGTTTGCAGCGTGCCCGTGGTCGGACAGAGATAATCGTGCCTATACCGGCTACGGATAGAGTGAAACGGAAGAAAAGGAGAACGTGAAACGGTTCGCCGAGGAGGCTGGTCAATGGTAGGCCGGCTATCGGAACACCCTTCTCGAAAACAAAGCCGGATCTCACCTTGATTTATCGCTGAGTGCTGCCGCGGTGCTGTGTGTTCTGCTCCAGACCAGGCTGTAGCCGGGGTGAATTCCCCGGCGAAAATTAATCCATTATCAGGTAAACGAAGACGGAATAACTGCGATTACGGAGTTCAGAAATCACCACTCTTCTCTACACGAAACCTCGTCGCTTCTTCCGTGTATTTTATATCTTTTTTCTGCCTAGTTGCCCGCCACCAGACGGCTAACCTCGGTCCGTTGGAGTTCTGTGTACACACCATATACACAACCCGATGCCCGCCACTAAATCAGCTCCGTAAACGTATGCACGGTAACGTGTGTCACGACGAGCAATCGAAGCTTGCACACGGTAGCAGATCACACAATGCGCGTCTTCCTTACGTTCAAGTCATTCCCGTCAACGATTCACAAAGATACCGGACACACGATTTCTCCAAATATTTTCCTTCGTGCGCACGCTCCTGTTCGACAAGCACGACAAGATACACGACGCGGCATAAACGATACACGTGCGAGTCGTCGTATCGAGAGACGAACTACCCCTAACATCGGCCGAGAACGTACTGACATGAAGGCAACCGAGGAAACACGAAAGCGAAGCTCCGACTGAATCGTTGACGCGAGTGGGGGAAACCTTTCGGTCGAGTTCGGAATACTTCGGCGCGTCTTCCCCCTCTTCCTTCCAATGAATACTTTACACAAGCGTAGGATTCTCCCGTTCTCTACGTATACGCTAAGAGTCCCGATGTGTATTCGGATTCTGTTCTTCTCTCTTTCTTTTTTTACCTCATTTCCACTTCTCCTCTTCTCTCTTTCATCTTCTCCCAATAGATATTCCCTCTCTACCACTGTTGGCGCGAGTCTCGTACATGCACACCTGTTTAACGCATACGTGTGTGCACGCGACGCGTACCTTATACCCTCTTCGCGGCAGTCTCCACACGCGCGATGACGTCACGCTGGGCGCCGTGGCGTGGATAACGAGATGGCCCGAGTCTTCCTCGGGACCCTCGATCGCTAATTATCGTCCTAGAGGTTTCGCCTCGTTCCGCGACCGGTTTGCTCCTTTTTCTCTTCCTTCCCGGCCTGCTGCCCACCAGACGGAGAAATCGTGCGCGGTTCAAGAAGAGAAGGCACCCGGCAGCCACCCTCT